CTCCTCACTGCCTGTCTATACAGACCTCCAGGTCTCTATGGTTGGTACTGGGATTAAAGGTGTGTGTTACCACACTTGGCTGTGTCCTTGACCACACAGAGACTCTGCCTGCCATGTGATCGGATTAAGGACGTGTGCTGCCACCACCTGACTCCTGTTTATGGCTCACTGTGTGGCCTCTGATTTCCAGGCAAACTTTATTAGCATACAAATAAAATCACATTTCAGCACAATTAAAATATCACCACAGCTTAAGCCGTCTTTTTAACTTTTGCTGTTTTTCACATGTATTCCTAAGTCCTTTATCATTAGATACCCTCTTCGGTATCAGATGAGACACATTCTAATGTGTCAGTAGTCCTGAAAAGTTCAGTAGCACTTAGACGAACATAATACTTTAGGTATGTCCAGCCAGCACTATAAACTGCATGCAGGCCAGGAGAGGTATGAATGCAGGTCAACACAAAATCCTCAACTTCCTTAGAACATTATGAGGTTGTTGTTTTTTTTTTTTTTCAAAAAAAACCTTTTATTTTGGTAATTTGATCATCAAGTTCTGAAGTGTGAAATTTGTAGGTGATAATGTCACTTTGCAATGTCAGAAGGTTGATCACATCTGGAGGACACAAAAAGCTACTGCCTTGCAGCTCACTCAGATGTGACATTTGCTTGCAAAGGCTTGGGTGTTCTTACCTTTGGAATTCTTCTTTTATCCTGAGATAATACAATAACATGTCATGGTAATAACCAAGGTGCCAGGATTTTTATTCCCGAGTTAAATGGCTATTGTTCTAGTAGTGTTTCTCCCTTGCAGTCCACCAAAGCTCTACTTACCCATTGGCAGTCAGTTCTTACAGCTGTCACGAGTCTCGCTTCTTACAATTCTTCTTACCTGTTCACTTTTTTTCCCTTGCTGATCACTTCCACCACTATGCTATTATCTTATCACCATTGTTCTCTGTTTTCTCTTAAAATCAAGATCTAGTCTCCTTTTATTTGGTCTCCTTTGGAGGGCTCAGGAGGTTATGATTGAAATGTTAAGTTCGGAGGGGGAACCAGGTAACCAAGCTCTGACATGCGCACATACCTTTTCTATGGGCCATTTCTCACTTGCCCTTTCCTGGACTCCTTCTCCCCCACCTCTGGTCCCTTTTTACTTTCTGTGTTTCTGTAGTACTCACAGCTAAAGGGTCAGAGTTAGGATTCACAGATAAGAGAGAGCATGTGGCATTTCTTTTCAGTATAATTAAACTGAAACCATTTAATATAACCTCGTTCAGTATAATGTTTCATCTACTTACCTGAAAATTTCATGGTTTCATTTTTTCTTGCAGTAAAATAGAGTTCTATTATGTTTATGTACTGCACTTTTATGGTGGAAATAGTACAATTATTTTGGAATTAATCATATCTTTAAAAGGAAAAGCCCATAGTTGGCAAGTTGGCATCTATAAACTGGGATTTGTGATAACACTGTAGTGAAGTTCCTTGTACTCATCAATTACTTTGGACTTAGGACAACTCTATCTCAACAGTTCTTTTGTTGTTGGTGGTGGTTTTTGAGACAGGGTCTCTCTGTGTAGCCCTGGCTGTCCTGGAACTAGCTTTGTAGACCAGATTGACCTTAAACTCACAGAGATCCGCCTGCCTTCACCTCCCGAGTGCTGGGATTAAAGGTGTGCGCCACCAACTGCTCAACAATAGTTCTTATTCTTTTTTTATCAAAGAAGATAATTATGTCAACCTTAGATTTGGAGAAGTTGATCCAGGTTTACAGCATGTTGTGTCCAGTTGCTATGACAAAATATATGAGATAGTTGGGTTACTAGGGAATCATCCACTGTGGTTCATGGCTGCAAAGATCTCTTCCCTATTTACCTACTGCCTTTGGTCTGTGGTAAGGCCACACACCATGGTGAGAATCACAGGAAAATCATGCTCACCTCATGGTGACCAGTTCATCCAAGTGAGAAACATGGTTGGGGTGGTGGCTCACAGTGAATTGTGTTTGCTGTGTAAGCGTGAGGTTGTGAGTTTAGAGGCATAGTATCTACTCAAAAACCAGACATAGTCGTTCACGTCTGCAACCTCAGAGCTGCCAGCTGGAAGCAGGTGGATCCTAGGGTTGCTGACATGCCAATATAGCCGAAATAGTAATCGCCAGTTTCAGTGAGAGACCCTGTCACAAAAAAATAGGGCAGGGGCTGGAGAGATGGCTCAGCGGTTAAGAGCACTGGTTGTTCTTCCAGAGGTCCTGAGTTCAATTCCCAGCAACCACATGGTGGCTCACAACCATCTGTAATGAGATCTGGTGCCCTCTTCTGGCCTGCAAGTATACATGCAGACAGAACACTGCATACTTAATAAATAAATAAATCTTAAAAAAAAAATAGCTCAGAAAAGTGATTGAGGAAAACATCCCAGCATCACCCTCTGCATCCAGTATGTGCACATGTACCCCGCCCACACAAGGAATTTCTTTTAGTACTTTTTCTTTTTTAAATAAAAAAGATGCAAAGAAGCCAGGACCCCACGATATCCTTCAAATGCATCCTTCTTAGGCCCCACTTCTTAAAGGTCAACGTCTGATGACCCAACCTTCAACACATGGCCTTTGAGAAACATTTAATACCCAAACCATAACACACTGATTAATGTGGACACTTACTATTGACTCTCAAGAAATGGGAAAAATGTCTCTGTCCACACAAGAATACTGTTTAAAGAGTTGATACTGTTTCTACAGTTTCTTTTTACTTCAGTACAGAACTGTATACATATGAACTGTTTTTTATTTCCATTTTTATTATCACCTGTAATAGCATTCACATTATAATTCAGAGAACTTGAGTCATACTCTCTGGAAGATATATACAGATCTCATTGACATTCAGTGGTCCCTAAGCCTTTCCCACAATATGCTTATTTTAGGTTGTTTTAACTACACAGTACACATTTATTAATTAAAGAAACATTTACATTTTATGTTATCATAGTGATAACATGTTTCAAATCGAGGTTTTCATATCAACTTTGTAGTTACCTTATAATACAGGAAGACAAAGCTGCCAGATTAACATTTTTCACACCAAACTCTGAGTACCTACTAGGCATTTGTTAGATTCTTAAGAGAGAGAGAAAAATCAAAACAGAGGACATTTGTATAGCCTAAAAATCTCTTTCTCTTTGAAATCTTTCCTGATTTTCTTCAAGGAAGAATATAATATTGGAAAAAGAGATGTTTACCTTTCCACTGAGCATATGGTTGATTCGGGAAGCAAAACTGTAATGTGTTATTATAAATACTGTGGGAAGAAAATACATATGGATAGGAAGTACACAGGAAAACCATAGATTTCAGGGGGCAAAAAACAGTTTCCGCCGGGCAGTGGTGGCGCTCGCCTTTAATCCCAGCACTCGGGAGGCAGAGGCCGGCGGATCTCTGTGAGTTCGAGGCCAGCCTGGGCTACCAAGTGAGTTCCAGGAAAGGCACAAAGCTACACAGAGAAACCCTGTCTCGAAAAAACCAAAAAAAAAAAAAAAAAAACCAAAAAAAAAAAAAGTTTCCTTAATGAAATTATGTTAATCTAAGATTCTGAATGTGTGTAGTTGATGGTTCTCAAAGAATACTCTTTTAGACTCTAGGCATCATGTGGACTTGTTAGAAATTGGGATTCTGGGACCTCATCTCTGGCCACTGAAGTGGAAACTGGGAATGGGATCCAAAAGTCTAAAGACCTGCTTTTTCCCTTCCTGCCTCCTTTTCTTCCTTCCTATATTTATCTCCCCTTCCTTCCTTCCTTCCTTCCTTCCTTCCTTCCTTCCTTCCTTTCTTCCTTCTTTCCTTCCTTTCTGTTCCTGCCTTTCTTTCTGTTCCTGCCTTTCTTTTATTTACTTCTTCATTATTATTATTATTATTATTTATTTTATGTGTATGGGTCTTTTGTTTGTCGTGTGTCTTGTGCCTGAGGAGGACAGCAGAGGGTGTCAGATGCCCTGGAAGTAGAGTTACAAGGACGGAGAGCTGCCATGAGAGTACTGGGAATTGAACCTGGGTCATCTGGAAGAGTAGCCAGTGTTCTTAGCTCACTCAGCCATTATCTTTTCAGTTTCATTGTCTTTTTTCTTTTTTTAGTTTTTAGATGAGGTCATAGGTCATACTGTGTGTCCCAAACTGGCCTTGAGCTCACTATGTGAGCCTTTGAACTTGGGGTGATCCTTTCCCTCAGTTTCTCAAATGCTGGGATTACAGGAATGTGTCACTATGCATGGCTAGAATTGTGTTTTCAAACAAGTTCTCTGAGTGATTATGATTCATGTTGACCATTGAAAACAAGCAGTTGAGTGTTATCCAAATCTAGAGAGCTGGGAGTTGGATCTGCCTGTAAAGGAACGGACCTGAGATCCCTGGAGAGAAAAGCAGAGAACAGCATTGATAAAGAATAAGGTCAGTGTGCCTGGACCACAGAGTATGGGTCGGCCAGAGGTTTAGGGGTGCAGGAGAGAGTGTGCAGAGGAAAACAGAGGTCATCCAGGATTTTAGAGCCGCTTTAAACTGCTTAGATTTCATTTATCCTAAGTGCTTATTTGCATATTTGTCTTCTTGAATACAGTGGGAATATACAAGGTGCAGGAGATATTTCTCCCTTTCCTCTGCTGACCTGTAATCATGTTAATAGATGCATGCTGAGCGAACTCACGGATACTCACCAAAGCCTTGAAAGCCTTGTGCCTGTAGGCATTTAGCACTCTTAGTTGATGCCCTGGGCTCAACTAATGCAAAGAGAAGGTGAGTCACCTCCTTTACATGGCATAACTATGCAGAAGCAGAGGAGCTTTCCAAACCAGGTCTCTGGACGTTGTTCCTGGAATGCCCCCTCCCCCTGCTTCTCTGACACGGAGTGCTGAGCCTGTAGAGAATCTAGGTGAAGGCGTAACTGCTTGCACACCTGTGGGAATTCCGTATGCAGCTGTGTCTTGTCTTTTTCTTTTCTTTTCAGACAGAAAAGGGGAGTGCTCTTCATGAAGCGGCCTTGTTTGGGAAGGTGGATGTGGTCCGAGTTCTGTTAGAAACAGGTACTTATCAGGGTTCTCCATGGAACCTGCCCTGCTGGGTGTGGCTATTTCAGGGTTAGAGGAAGAACATGGCAGCTTTCTTCACAAATGATCCTCCTCTCTTCCAAATTACAGAGAGGTATTCATACCATGTAGCATTGGGCTTTGATGTTTGGATAAGATTGCTATAATTATTCATGTGAGCTGAAGGAACTACCAAGAGGAAAAGGAAAATCTCTGCTTTGGGCAAGATGGAGGGACCGGCCCCTGGGGAGTTATGGCACCTGTGTGGTCTCTTGGTCGTTTACATTGTGACCCACGGCCAGGCAGATTGAGTTCCTTCTTAGAGCAAATTCTCCTCCTGGCTGCTCCTTGTCTGAGTAACTGTTGTTCATTGGCTACAGAGGCTTATTTTTAAAGGAGCATCTTAGAGGGAATATTTTGAAAGAAAAGCAAAGGTAGGCTTACTTATCTTCTATGTATATTCTGACTGAAATGAGACAAGTTGAAATTGAGGTCAGATTTTTGAGAATTGGAAGATATGAGTACAAATAATTACTCTACACAGCTGATATAAATTGTGTTCTATAGTACAGTGTGTTTAATTTGCTCTGTTTAAAAAAAAACATGGGCAGGCTATCATGCTGTTACCCCGTTTTTCACTATGTTAAATTATCATGTTATTTAATTTTGGCATGCAATGTAGTGATAGAATAAATGACCGGAGACAACCCCATACACTGGCTTTATCTGCAATTAGGTATTTGTAAAGTTCATAAACTGTATTGGAGTGGCAGAAACTAATTGCTGCATTAAAATAAATTCTTTAGTGTGACACATAATTTTGGAACTAAATTAATAACAGAGCTGTTTCGAACACACAGTTCAGTAGGTTTGCTTAAATAGCTTAGGAGTGTGGCCAGCATTGAGGGCAATCTGAAAGAAACAAGTGTCCGGAGTATCTGGAGGCGCAGTATTTAGACGCTTGGAATAATTATACTTTTTCAAATTTGTTAACATTGAATATTCTGAGAGTGTTCTTAAATTACACTGTGTACTATTATCACTTATTAAATTTTAAAATTGAATTACACAGAGTATACAAATCACCTTGCCATTACACTTTAGGATTTCAGATTATAAGTAAGAAATATTTTTCACTTCGATAGTGTACTATTTGTGTAGTTTACTAGCTGTTACCCAAAAGGGACTCCGGGGTCCTGAAAAGCAGCCTTTATAACTGTGTCAGAGAACTCTAAGAGTTGACTCATTATCGAGAACGTTCCATGTTTTTAGCAGCATTAGGCCCCTGCCTTCTCTCTTGTTAAAATCTTACGTGTGTCACTTAGTTTCTAAACCACGTTCAATGCTTGGCCTATATGCGTATGAAATTAGAACAGTTACATATTGGCAGTGTCATCTGAGGCCACTCGAGTGGTACATCTAGTTCTTCTTTTTCCTTCAGGAATTGATGCCAACATAAAGGACAGTTTAGGTAGAACTGTCTTAGACATTCTGAAAGAGCATCCGTCTCAGAAGTCTCTCCAGATCGCAACGCTCTTGCAAGGTAAACAAGGCTGAGCGGTGGATGACTTGGCCTTGCAGCCAGGAGTAAACCGAAGCTGTCACCATTGTTATTTTATTTTATTCGAGTTAGTGTTTAATTTGGAATTAGCTCATTACTTGCTTATTTTTGCTAGCATATTTTAAGCTAAATAATAATTCATTTAAATGTTTTAATACTGTGCTTACTTGGGACTGAAAAAGTTATTTATTTACTACTTGATATAAAAATGTTTGAGAAAATTCATGCAGTAAATGTGGATAATGATAGCTTGAAGTTAATGGGCTATATGAATTGGTAATGACCAAATATTATCTTTACTTAGAATACTACCTTAAGATTTTTTTCAGAGATTTTCTATAATATTGTCTGATATCAGTGACTATGAAGTAGCCAAGTATAATTCACTTTGCCCATGAGGGACCCTGGAGCTCTGATAGACTTTTTTGCTCACACTCAGAATTCTACCCTGTGCTATGTAGCAGGAAGAGTACATGGATGCTGAACAATGTGAAGTTGGCTGAAAGAATGTCAGTTGTTTCTTACACATGTAGATGGGTCACAAGCATAAGAATGGAGAGAGGCAAGACAGTTTCCTTCATTACCAGTCGGGAAACTGAAGAACAGCATTGCTTTGTAAGAAAATACATGAGTTAAAACCAGATGGGGCTATGGGAATGTAGATACAGCAGTTAATGAAAGCCAAAATGGGTTATAGAGTAAATGGCCATTATGTTCTTTTCTCAACTGATTTCTAAACCTTCCTAGGAAGTTTTGGCCCCTATAATTTTGTTGTCAATAAAGAAGTTAATTGCAAGTCAGAACACCTACAGATAAATCAGAGAATTCAAGTATGACTTTTTATATTGATTCTAATTAAACCAAGTTGAATGAAAGCTAAAGAGAAAAATGGCATCCTTTGTTTTTATCTGTCTTCTACCCTCAAGACACTTGTATGTCAGGTTAGACTTTTGCCTTCAACTGAACTTTAAAAAACCTTGACGTTTGTGTATATTAGATCTTTTGGAGAAAGTAAAATAAAATTTTCCTACTAAAAGGGGGCAAGATATAATTTTAGAATTTTCAAATGTACTACACTGGTTCAATGTGATAAAATATTCTGTAGGAGAAAACTGCCTGCTTCCTTAAAGGCCAAGGTTGATTAAGTGTGTCAGTTTGCATTGGGGCATATTAGGACACCTTTGAATATTTCCTATCGTTGGAAAATACCTTCTAGTCGTTCCTTTCTTGGATGTCGTTGGTATTGAAATAAAGCCAATTGATCATTGGCTTTACCAATTATAAATTACCAATTTTTAATTACAAATTACAAGTTTATATAAAAATTGCTATTAGAATTACAGTTAGTTACTGTATGGTCCAGAAATTTTCAGGATACAATTCTGCAGGTTGTTTTCTGTCCCTAGTAGAATTTGCCTCATAGAATTATCCTTTGATCTAAAGTATTGTAATGGTGTGGGGACACAATTGGCTGGCATAAAACACAAATTTTCACAAGTGGATTCTTATGAAGCAGATTCTTTCTGTATAAGGAATACAAGCAAAGGATCCCAGTGGGAGATCTGATTTCAGCTGTTAGAAGAAGGCTATAAACCAGCCCTACATAGGCTGAATACTTTTGGTGTATAGCAGACATGTTTTCTTTAGGCCACACATATTTTATGAGCACTGTTTCCATAAAAACAAATTTAGCTGTCAGAATTTTAAAAAATTCCAGAATTGTAGCTGAATCTTCAGAATTTTGGCATCCTTTGTAAGTGCCGAACTTTTAGACGGAGCACCTGCTGCTCTGAATTACACATGTCCTGTGCATGCCCTGTGCTTCCTGTGACATCCGGGCTGAGTATCCTTTGACATTTATCCCTGTATTCAGTGTAGTTCCCCTTATGATTGAGACAAAAGTGACATGTTTTCATGTCCCTTGTCTATCTGCCTCTACCACGTATTAGTGGAACAAGTTAATAACACTTCTCTTTAAAGTTGTCACCTTTAAAATTGAGATAGAGCTGGGTGTGCGTGCCTGTAATCTCAGAACTCATGAAGCTTAGCAAGAAGGTTCACAAGTTCGAGGTTAGCTTGGGCTGCATAGTAAGTCCCTGTCTGAAATCTCAAATACAACAGCCACCCCCCCTCCAGACCATACAAACTGAGCTAGCAATAGTTTAAGGCTTAAACAGGTTAACATACCAAGTATTTAGAACTAGGCTGACATTATCATGTCTTTATTTAAAAAAAGGAAAAGCAAAAGATAAGTTGGCATGCAGAACACTATTTTAAGAGTAGCAGGAATGAACATTTTTTCTGTATATAAATAAAATTTAGCGTGAATGTTATGACTCTCTTTCAAGCACACACCACTGTTTCATTCACTTCTGATACCCAAGTGGTTGGTGGCATTCATCTGAATTGAACGTCTCTGTTTTAGTGACAACGTCTGTTGAAGCATCTTTTGGGAACTTTAAATTGTCAGACAGAAAATACTTAACAGGGTCAGGAGGCACTTACGTCTCCAACAGACATGTTTATCTTTAAGGACACACAATGTTTTTACTTTAATGTCTTACTAAGCAAACAGTTTCTCTTAAATTTCTTTGGGTTTGTTTCCATTTTTTTCTTTTTAAACACTTGTGGTGGCTGTTGATCTTTAACCCACATGACTCCAAGTGCATGACCTCGGAACTCTGTGCCCACAGAATATCTAGAAGGTGTGGGAAGGCCGGCAGTCCTGGAGGAGCATGCTCAGGAAGACACGACACAAGAGACACGCCTCCCGTCCCCTGCGGAGTCTCCTTCCCAAAAGACTAAAAGTGCGTATCTGGCTGACGCTCGCAGCAGCAAGGCCAGACTTCTCTGGTCAGATTTGTCACAGCGCATGAGACGGGTGAACACCGGAGGGAGGGGGGGGGGGATGTCAGATCTAGTCACGCGTGGCTTCTGCTTTGTGTTTTGTATGTTTATTTAGTCAGCTTTTATAGTTTCTGCTGCTTATGTGGGATTGCACATGACACATGACACTAATATAGGGAGTACACATGACATAGGAATTACATATGACATAGGGATTACACATCACATAGGGATTACATACCACATAGGGATTACATGACATAGTGCAGAGAGCAATGTAGTTAACGATCCCTTCTATAATAAAGTTTAAATGGAGTAGAAGTGATTATTTTCATAAATGTATTTTCTCTAGCTTTACTGAGGCATATTTGACAAATAATAGTTTCATGTTTGCAGCAGATAATGTGAATTTTTGACACACACACACACACACACACACACACACTGAGTTTATTGTCACATTCAAACTAATTAACGAAGGTATCACTTCGCATAATTACGAGTTTTTGGTGGTGAAAACAGTTTCAGATGTCTTGGGGAATTCGAGGCTACAATGCAGTATTAATCCTAACCATACTCAGTGCACTGTGCAGTGATTTCCCGAGTTTATTCATCCGCTCCTAACTGAGATTGTGGACACTTTAAACACCGTGTCTACTGTTTCCTCCCCACTACAGCCCTGGTAACCTCTACTCCACCGTCTGCCTTTGTATGTTACCTTCTCACATTGCACACAGATGTGAGATGATGCAGTATCTGTTTATTTCAGCCTCATGTTGCTTGGCAAAGTGACCTCCAGTTCCATTCCTGTTTCTCAAAAGGAAGGTGCCCTTCTCTTAGGCGTTCATCATGATCTGTTATCTGTTTCTATTTTCTCCTATCCATCTCTCCAACAATGGACACTTAATTTTTCCCTCAGATTTTAGCCATCCTGAATAGGGTTTCAGTTAAAAAGGGGGTCTGTGTGTTTCTCTTAAAGATGTTGACTTCATTTATTGGAGGTAAATGTCAGACGTAGGATTGCTGGTACTGAAGAACAGCTCGTGTTTTCTACAGTGGCTCGTACATCCCCAACCCAGCGTGCAGGGTGATCTTTCCCACAGCCTCACCAACAACTGCTTCCTCTCGTCCTTTTGATAACAGCCAGGAGACATGAGATCTCTTTGTGCTTTTAATCCCTAGTTCCCTGACTGCCGGTGACGTTGAATGTCTTTTCTATGTATCTGTTGGCCAACTGTATTTCCTTTTTGGAGAAATCAAAGTTTAGCTGTTTAGTCCATTTGACAATTGTTACGTGACAGGTGATACAATTGTCTCTTCCTTCTGTTTCTCCCTTTTTTCATACATCACAATTCTCATAACCTATATGTTAAATTATTTGTTTAAAGGAGTGAACTCTATTTATGTTCATTGAAAATAGGAAATGTTTTCACCATTATTTTAAGGTTGTTAATGAATCATTGGATTTTGTCAGTGAAATAAAATGCCAATAAAAAAATGGAGAAATAAATCCAGATGACCATCAGTGGTCCAGCTCTGGCCTAGCATGTGCGAGGCCTTGAGTTCAGTCCCCATTCTGCCTCAAGAGAAAAAAGTCAATTCCTATAATAACCAAAGCTATAGAAACTAGTTATTATTTGTAGCTAAACTTTCAATACTGATTTCCATTTTGATAAAGAATAGCTATGGTCAGAGTTGGAACCTCTTTCATCTGTGAGCATGTTCGTGTTAATTATATTTTATGGTCATATGTTATATATTAGGTAAATATGTGTTATGCATTATGTACATATGTAAACATGCAAATATGTTAATTATGCATAGTACCTTGCTTTGGCCAGATGTTTCTAACCATTTACTTGTTGTGTCTTCTGTCAACATAGTATTCCCATTTATATTACTTAACATTACACTTTGGTGATAATATCTCTTGCAACATCTGAAAAAAAAATTGTTTTCTTATAGGTGAAACGGTCACGGGGGAATTATCAAAACTCCTGGATGAAATAAAACTCTGCCAAGAAAAGGATTATTCCTTTGAAGATCTGTGCCATACAATTTCAGACCACTACTTAGATAACTTGAGCAAGATTTCAGAGGAAGAACTTGGGAAAAATGGAAGCCAGAGTGTAGTAAGTAAGGGGGGATGAAGACACCGCGTCTGTCTGTCAGTCCAGTGCACGCCACGGTGGCATGGGATTTGCTGACTGATTAGTTTATCAGATTCAGTGATGAGCAAGTGTCCATCCCCCTGTTAGCCTTGCTCTGCTGTTCAGTGGGTCGTCACTCTGCAGCAGGTAACGGGGGCAGAGATGCTGGGGAAGGACGGAGCAGGTAGCCCAGTGCGAACAGCTTGTGATGATGTCACTACTGTCAGACTTTCTGTTGTGACGTGGAAGCTGCAGTTTCTCTGAACATGGATATTTAATTTAACTGAGCATAATTATCTCAAACTCCTGAAGAAGAAAACGGTTCTTTTGCCGGTCCCCCCTCCCCTGCCCCCCTGCATTCTCTATAACTCCTCCTTAAGGACAAAGACAGGGCCAAACCACATGTATAATTCTTCAGGTACTCCAACAATCACGGGGAGACAGCTCAGCTTCCATGTTTCCAAAACATTAGCTGTCCAGGGAGTCTCCCTTGTGACCTCAGAATCTAAAGTATGAGTTCGATATTCTTCTTCATTGTGGATTTTCAGATCAACAATAGCAAGAAAAATTGTAATTGATCAGCTTTATATGATTTGTAAGCCTACTTTTGACCCAGGAAGGAATGATTCATAGTAGGTAGAGGATTTAAGGAAGCAGACTGCTTTGATATAAACTGTTCACTTTTAGGATTTGATTTGTTGGAGAGGTGTTGCACTTTACTCAGAGTGTACAATACAGTACACTGTTGTAAGTATGTCATATTATTTTAAATATTCAAACAACTTCTAAGTATGGTACCTGTCCATTTTGGGAACACGCACTTCATTTAGTGCCTTCAAGTGAGGCGTGACACCGTTCCTCTGCAGAGCACCTGCTGATCTAGTTCAATGGCTAAACTTACCTCCAGCCCTACTTTTTTGGTTGTTGCTCCATTTTTTTTTCTGGGCTGCTGTCGCATTATTGCCCTTCCTCCAGTCCATTATGAATAACTTGAATAATTCTATCTGCATTATATCAAAGGCTTATAGGTTTTACAAAATGAAAATCTTCTGTTAATGAGATACTTCTATTAGTCAGCATACAATTCCCTAAAACTAACTGCAAAGTACAGATAATTGTAGCTTAACATCTTCTGGAAAGCCACTTAGAACTTTAAACCTAGTTGCACTGCATAACTAATAGATGGTGCCTGGATTTTTATATCCATCCCTAAAGCTTTCTATTACTTGGCACATTGTAGCTCCCTCCTTCTAAACCCACAGGTTCCCTCAAAGCCCATTCCCCAAAGTCAATGATTTCTAAAGACTTTTTATTAAATGTTTGTAAACAAACTTAAACATCTGTAGTGTGTTGGTATATAGATACACACACCAATCACCATCTGTCTACCTACACATACATAAACATACACTATCCTCGGGCCACATATGTAAACCAAGAAAGATTTACTTCACAAGAAACCAAGAAATTCAGAGTTAGGAGAATAGAGACAAAGTAAAGCAGAAGCCCTAATTGTTTTTCTGTTACTCTGTGTCTGTGTGTGCTTTCCTCTGTATTCTGCTTGGGGAGTGTGGTAGAAGCTTAGATGTCTTAGGGAGTGATGACGGGACTCTTGGCATCCATACCTTTTGGAAAGGGTGGCTGCTTTGCTTCATTAACTGAAGAGTGCATTGTGGGAGTGGCAAGGAAGGCGGAAATAAGGCTTGTAAGTTGAACCTAAGTTCTTCAAAGTGTTGCCCAGATGTTCCCACACTCATAGTTCTAGTGACAGATAATATAGTAGTATTCCTTGGAACTATTGTCATATAAAAATTCCAAAGGCTAAATGGGGTAGAATATCAGAAAGTATATATAGGAGCAAGTAATTCCACTTCTTTGTCATAGAATTTACCTAGGGGAAAGATGAGAAATAGGATTAAAAGGGTGAATGAAGTTTGGTGGTGGGTGGTTTGAATATCAGGCTAAGAATTTTGGTATTTATTCTTTAGGAAATGAGAAAAATATAGGGTTTTGGGAAGATAAAAGGCTTCACTGGAACTGGCCTTTCAGCAGATCAATCTGACAGAAACATCACTGACTGTTTAAAAAGTAATCCATTGACATTGACCTGCTCTGTGGCCCACATTTTATTTGTATTCATCCCGTTCTGTCTGATACTTGTTCCATTTGTTGACGAGTTTTTCCTCGAGTGTTACTATGAATTGTCCCTCATGAGACAAACGGCTTAATAAAATGCTTTCAGGTTGCCTAATATAGGCAGCCATTGCCATGTTTAAAACTATAGGTATATAGATTCAATATGCAAGACTGTAGCTGGCTTTATAGAGTTCAAAACTCCCATCCCAAGGAGCCTTCAATCACTGTAGACAAGACTATCACATAAAACAAATATGTATATTATGAGTTGATACTTAATAGGTGCTTGCTATCTCTTATTCTAATGTTTTATGTGATTGAAACCATGACTAAACAGTCCTAACCGTGGAATTATAAATTTAGGAAATGACTCAGCGGGCATGTGCCATACTGAGGATTTCAACTACGAACTGGTATTTTAAATTCTCAGCTGTATTTCTTATCGTAGGTTACCCTGTGGCCAAAGAAACTTTAAAAAGTGAGAGATCAGGGATGTACAGGTATTCACTGAAGGCTTCCTGGATGTAGGTTAAGACTAAAATGGCTCCCGGAGAAAGGGGAGATGGAATTGCCTTTCACTTGTCTTGGAATGAATGCATCAGGGAGGTATACAGCCTGAAGAAATAGTGTGTGTGAAAGCAGAGGTCAGAATCCATGTGTAACTTGGAAAGGATGGTTTACCACAATGGAAATAAAAGATAGATGAATAATGATAAAACCTAATAAATACAATTATTTCTCCCATTTTAGAGATGAGGGAGTGAAAAAAACTTTGATGACTTTTTCCCCCAGGTTCACATGGCCAGAATATCTAGGCTCGGGTCCTGGCTCCGAAGTCGGCGTCATATTGTATAGAACTCTCTGTATCATCAGAGAACAAAGGTAGATTAGGAGAATAAACTCAAGGGGAGTTCCCTCGAAGGCCATATTTTAGGTCACAGGTGACAGCTTGTTGGGTATTCTGGGGATAGACTATGATTCTCATTATTGGCTTTGCCTTAGAGTAACGAGGAAAGGCTTTGAAAAAATAAGTATGATATGTCATAGCCCCTAAGTCAAAATCATTGAGGGATCTGGATATGATGGTGCATATCTGTTAATGGCAGCATTTAGGATGCTGGAGCAGGAGGATCACAGTTCAAGCCATGCAGGGGTCTATAGCACTCTGAGGCCAGCTGGCTACATAGTAAGAGCATGTTAGAAAGAAAAAAAAAACTTAGTTGCTCTGAGCAGTTCTTTTTAAGAAGCCCCCTACATTATTTTAACAGGCATATAGTGGATCTAGTGCAACAAAATCCTGCTGGGGCCTTTATAAGCTAGTTCAGGCCTAACATGAGAGTAGAGCTTAGGTCCTAAGAACACCACACAATGCAGCATTTTTTTTTAATTGAGCTAGAACAAATCTCGTAGCTCTTGTAGTGGCTAACTTACTTCTTCAGTTCTCTAACATGCTCGTTTTGGTTTACATTCTAGAACTAGGGGATATCTTGGTTTTGACTCTCAAACAAGTTACTACACACTGTGTAGCTTGGAGACAAACGTTATTTCTCGCAGTTCTGGAGGCTGAATGGAGGCTGCAGGTGAAGCTGGCATCTGCTAAGAGCCTGCCTCCTGGTTTGTGGGGCCCCTTCTTTATCTTCTCACATGGCTGAGGACAGAGAGAAAAAACAAGCTCTCAGTTGGCTTTGCCGTTATTCCACCACTAATGGCTAGGTGCTCATCTCCTGGACATCTCCCAGAGTCCCTTGCTTTACTCTTACTGGGGGTTGCTACATCACTACATGTATCTGGAAGGGACAGAGACTTTCTTCCTACCTGGAAGGTTTTTAGTTCATCATGAGAGAAAATTCAAACTATACTCTGACAACAGTCCAAACTTATAATTATTTTTGTATGGTATCGAAGCTTTAAATACAGGAAAACATTTTTGTTATTTATAGTTCTAGTGATAGGATGAGCAACCTGTTTGAATGCAATTTAGTTTTAGATGCTCCAAAATATCTGACTTGTTCATTTTAGTACTATGCATAATTTCAAAAGTGATTAGGAAATTACAAAATAAAAGGAAAATATGTTCTGTAACTTCATATCATTCATAAATGTATTTTACATCTTAGTGATACAGCTTTTTTAGTGATACTGTTTTAGCTGTTATCCTTAGTTCAATGCAACTTTTATTTCCTATTTTCTTCCAATAGAGGGCACTCTGATTCAGGAATTTGACACAAAGTCAGCTATCTTATGTAAGACCTTTTGGTTCTTTTGATCAGAGATGATTGCTTTTATTCAAATAACTTTACTATTATAAATGAATTAAAAATTAATTCCTTATTATTGTCATTAACCTAGAGGTTTTATATTTAATTTAAAGACCAGCTCAAGTTAAAATTATATTTTACCTTGTCTACATTTTAATTCAAAAGTTAATCTGTTCTGAATACTCTTAAAATATGCATATGAGACCATTTTCCAAGTTGAATCAGAACATTATATAATCTAAGATAGGAATTTTGAAGAAATGTTTTCATATTCTTTATGACTCATGAAGTTTGTTTTCAAAAGAATATAAAATGATCTAAAATTTCTCTGTTTTTTATTCATTTATTTTGTCAAGTCTTATTTATTTTCTCCACTTATATAAACAATATGCATAGTTCTTAAATTTGAACATGCCAGGCTGTAGGAATTCTGATGTAATATGAAGATTACAGCAAATTGAATCAGGAAATCATTTCTCTTTGATTTAAATCGAAAAAGCATTGTTGCCTCATTTAGCCTATGTTTTAAAGAAATAGAGAAGACAGTTGAGGGGAGAACCGTTTTATTCTTTTTTTCCTTCGAGGGAA